CGTTCTTGTGAGACTTTCCACCCAAGTCGCCACCCCTGCATGCGGTCTCTCGATCGAGATGTAGCTGATGCATTCACCCGCCTGAATTCTCCAGGCGGATGCCTCCAAAGAAGAGGCCGACGAACACGGACGTGACCGATGTAACTTCCGCTCCGGGGGGGAGAGTCCTGTCTTGAGTCTCCTGTCTGGTGACCCATCGAAGTACCGCTGGTGGTGGTGGCCACGTCGGCGTTCACGTCGGGTTCAGAAGCCGCCTTCTTGAGCGGTTTCAACCCGGCGCGGCCGCTCGGTGGCCGGAACCGCAAGGAGGCTGAGGAGCTGGTGCCCGAGGAGGAGGTCACCGTGGTTCCAGGCCGACGACGGCCGGAAGCGCGCGCCGCGCCGTCTGAGCATATGCGGACGATCGGACCCACCCGAGGCTGGGCGCCCACCGTCTCCTTGGAACTACAGGACGCGTGGGGCAGGGCGATGGCCGGCTGCGGGGCCAGGGAGACCTGGGGCAGTGGGACCGTCAGCCTTGCTGTGGGCAGAGCACGCCCCGGGGGCTTTCTGGTTTCCAGGAGGTGCCGACGGGCGAAGAAGAGGAGGAGGAGATTTACTCCCAGCGGTCCAAGCTGTGCGCCGCTGCTTGTTGCGGTGTCCGGTGTGAGGTTTGGGGTCCAGTTTGCTGTGGGGTGCCGAAACGAACCACGGAATGGATTTGTCATGGATTTCCGATCGATGGCGTAGCAGTTTCCCCAAGAGCTTGTTGATCGGAGGAGGGTGAATCTTTCAACAGCATTCTCTTTTCCAACAGGATGAATCTTTTCGGAGCAGGGAGTTTGATGGAGTTTGTTCTTGGCCGTGTTCTTGGCTTTGGCAGGTATCGCTTTAAAGATGGCGAATGGAAAGAGAGGGGGCTCGGCGACTCCAAGTTGCTCAGACACAGGGTGCGCGGGACCAAAGGTGGTAGGTAGGCAGTAGGCATGTTGAGATGTGTTCAACTTTTTGTTGTGGGGGATTCGTTACATGCCCGAAGCAACACTGTCAGGGAACTGGCAAAATTCGCTACATGATGCGACAAGAGAAGACTGGCAAGATTGTGCTTGCCTGAGCAACAATAGATTCAATGATTAACTCTGCAGTGTGAGGAGGCAGCTTTGGGATAGCATGTTTTTGCAACGCTCTTTCGCCGAGAGGTCGCAAACCACTACATCTATGCCTTCCCGCCCTACTGTGACCTGAAACCAAACCAAGGTAGCCCGAACCCCAAGCTACAAGCAGCACGTCTATGTACTTTTGTGACCCTTACAAGATTCTAGAGCGACTTGCTTCAAATTTAAGGCGACAAGTGCTGGGTTTGGACAACGATGGACTACTCTGAGGAATATGGCGGATGCACCGCAGAAAGCATGTTGATTGGAAAGCCTTTGTAGACACACTTGTGCAGGACGAAGCTCAGGTAGAGCAGTTTGCACTAAAGTTCAAGGAAGTAGAGCTGGCCCAGCAGTCAGATCCTTTGTCAGCGATGCACGGAAGCAAGTGAAAAAGTGTGCACCCAACGTGGTTTTGATTTGCCAAGCCTGCATTTATATTAGGTTCCAAGAAGTGTTCAACAACGCAAAGGAACACAATGCAAAGGCCCGGCTTCCCAGTTTTACCTTATTGCTTTGTCTTGTTTTGGCGACACTTTGTCAACAACTGCTGGTTGGTGAGCCAGGTATGTCAAGTGCAAGAAGTCACGGGAAGCGAGCCCAAACCTGCAAAAGAGCCAGTCCAGCCACAAGATTCAGTGAAGGGTCCAAGTTGGGAGAGAACTGGCAGATGCACAATAGCAAAGCTTCTGCAAACATCCTCTACCGAACGGTGTATGTCCCGAACCGAACGGGGTCTTTTTCGGTTCGGTCTCAGGCTCCGGACCTGCCGCTGCCTCGGTCACACCGACAACCGCGTGTGTCGGTTGGGCCGTTTCAGACATTGGCACCGGTAAACGAACACAGGTAAAACATGGTAAAACCTTGGACCCTTCGTTTTCTGCCAATCGCACAGATGGAACAGGTAAAAGGTTCGGTTCACCTTTGTATGGTTCGGGGATTGATCTGGGTCGGGAGTCAGGTCGCCGGATCGTTGATCTGAGGCGCCCTAGCTCAGCCAGCGGAGTTCTCAGATCTCAAGTATCCGCAGCTCCACTGATCTCGAGTGTGTCAAAAGACATATGAGCCAGAAAAAAAAGGTGGATTGATGTAAAGTAGGATTGTGGGATCCTTCGTTCAGAATTCCACGCACCGCCGCAGCTATTTCTGATGTTATCTGTCTTTGTGGAATGTGTTATTTAGTTGGGGAACGACCCTCCAGACGACGTCCAAAACGACATTGGAACGACCTCCTTAACCACGTACATCATGTATTTGCTGCTGCTGCTCTTGCTCCTCTTGCTCCTCCTGCTCCTGCTGCTGTTGCTCCTGCTCCTCCTCCTGCTCCTTCTGCTGCTCCTGCTCCTCCTGCTGCTCCTGCTGCTGCTGGTGCTGCTGCTGGTGCTGCTGGTGGTGCTGCTCCTGCTGCTGCTGCTCCTTCTCCTGCTGCTCCTGCTGCTGCTGCTGCTGCTGCTCACTTTCGATGGACAGTATTTAGCCGGATTTCTCGGCGAAAAAAACGACCCCTGAACGACCTCTGAACGACGTCCGCATTTCAGTCAATGACCACTACTACTGACTACTTCTACTTCTGCTACTACTCCTACTACTACTCCTACTCCTACTACTACTACTACTCCTCCTCCTCCTCCTCCTGCTGCTGCTGCTGCTGCTGCTGCGACTGCGACTGCGACTGCGACTGCGACTGCTGCTACTACTACTACTACCACTACTACTACTACTACGACTACGACTACGACTACGACTACGACTACGACTACGACAACTACGACGACTACGACGACGACGACGACTACTACTAGTACTAGTGCTAGTACTACTACTACTACTACCACCACCACTACTACTACTACTACTACCACCCCTACTCCTACTCCTACTCCTACTCCTGCAGCTGCTGCTGCTGCTGCTCACTTTCGATGGACAGTATTTAGCCATATTTCTCGGCGAAAAACGACCTCTGAACGACCTATGAACGACCTCTGAAGACGTCCGCATTTCAGTCAGAATGGCCACTACTACTGACTACTACTACTACTACTACTACTACTAGTACTACTACTACTACTACTCCTGCTGCTCGTGCTGCTGCTGCTGCTGCTGCTGCCACTGCTGCTACTACTACTACTACTACTAGTGCTGCTGCTGCTACTACTACTACTACTTCTTGTACTACTACTTCTACTACTACTACTACCACCACCGCTACTACTACTACTACTACTACTACTCTTCTTACTCTACTACTACTACTACTACTACTACTCTTCTTACTCTACTACTACTACTACTAGTACTGCTTCTACTACTACTACTACTACTAGTACTAGTACTAGTACTATGCTTCTACTACTACTACTACTACTACTACTCTTCTTACTCTACTACTACTACTGCTACTACTACTACTACTACGACTACTACTACTACTACTACTACTACTAGTACTGCTTCTACTACTACTACTACTACTACTACCACCTGTTACCTTTTACCTACTACGTACTACCTACTACCTACTGCTACTACTACTACTCCTCCTCCTCCTACTCCTACCCCTACTCCTTTGTACTCCTACTCCGACTGCTGCTGCTGCTGCTGTGTTTTTTTTTGGTACTACTACTACTACTGCTACTAACTACTACCATGGTTGCCGCCATCACCACATATGAAGACCGCCGCTTGTAAATCATACGATTTGCTGTTGGGATCATGATTTTCGTACCATGTTTTTTTTCCACCTCATATGGCACTTGATGCTGGTGCTTGCACGCCCAGGCAGCACCGCACCAGCTGCATCCACAGGCACCTGCTGCCAGCTAGCATTGATGCAAACTTGTGAGTGGAGTGGTCTTTTAGCACTTGGAGGTGGCTTGTTTGGCTCAGCAACAGGCGCTGACATCTCATTATATTTTAGTTATATAGATGCCGCTACAGCCCTGATTAAAAGAGCCGTAAGATGCACTCACGTTTGGAAGTTTGATGACTGGGTCAAGCGTTTGTTGTAGAGGTGGCTCCTCTGGCGGGCTTTTTGGCGGCAGCTCTGGCGGGCTTTTTGGTGGCGGCTTGTTTGGGGGGCTCTGAACTCAGCATGAGAATCCATTTATGCGTGGTGCGGTCGAAGTTATGATCTGTTTTTTCAGGGCGAGCAGTGGTGGCGGCCTGTTTAGCGGTGGCAACCCTAGTTAAGGTCCAGTCTGACTTGTATTCACATTATGCTTCCCGCTTGGTGTCAGGTTTTGACAAGTTGCTGTTTGCTGGTCAAGTTCGCTATGCCTAGGCATTTCCTTTGGCGAGGCCAAGGCGCTTTGCACGAATTTCTTTGGGTAGCATGAAGCTGGGGTGGAGGCCATCGCTACTAGAGTGGAGGCCATCGCTACTAGTAACAAGAAACTGATTTTGCTAGAGTTGTTGCTCTTCGATGCGCGTTTGCACTCCCTCAGGCCGATTCGCCGCAGTCCGTGCTGCCCCCGAAACCTGAAGCGCGTTTCGTTCGTGCCGCGTTTCGTTCAATCGTTCGGGCGAGATGACGTGAAATAAGACGTCATGAATCGTAATGACATAGCTTCTTTAAGCTTGGGGTGCGTTCAGGATTGAGGAGGGATATCTCCCTGCAGTGTCTTGATCACACTCAAGCATCACACGGACAATATGAATCAAAACGATATGGTTTTGTGGAAGGCACTGTTTGCAAGTCAGCCAGTCACCTTTGTTCTTTCACCATTCATTCCGCCCAAACAGACACATCTCATGATGCAAAAGCCCTTACCGACTGGCGAACTTGGCCCATACCAAGAGTGAAAGAATGGAAGGATGCCCCCCCGCGCACTCCCCCAACCCGAGATGGTTTCAACAAAAACATGATTTTGGGCCAGGAGCATTCACCTTCTTGCGTGTCGCACCATGGTGCCGATGAAAAGAAAGCGATCGTTGCCGCCTCTGCGTGTGGCAGTCATCGGTGCATCCCGTGCAGGGCTGCCTTTAGCTTTGCTGTTGGCTGAGAGGGGGCACCATGTGGTCTTGGTTGAGACGGATGCAGAGGCTTTGGACACCCTCAAGAGTGGAAAGTATCCATTCTTGGAGCCTGGGGGCCCTGAGCTACTGCAGGCATGCATTGACAAGGAGTCACTTCAGATCTCTTCGAGGCTGTCGGTCATAGAGGGAAGCGACGTCATCCTGCTCACGTGCACGACGCCCATTGATACTCGCTTGATCCCTGACATGAGCCATGTGGATGCAGCAATTCGAGACCTCAAACCACACCTACGTGGAGGTGAGACGCTGGTCTTCCGCGCGACGGTCTTTCCGGGCACCAGTGAGAAAATCGAAGAAAGGCTCTCACAGCGTTCTGTCGGACCCCGAATTGGTGTGAGCTTTTGTCCGGAACGCCTGGCCATGGGGCACACGGTCAAGGAGCTCACGGAGGTGCCACAAATCATTTCCGGCTCCAGTCCGCAAGCTCTGTCACATGCCGCCCGCCTTTTCGATCCTTTGTCCGTGGACCTCGTCGAGTTGACGCTGTTAGAGGCAGAAGTGGCCACGCTCTTTCTGAATGCGTGGCGCTATGTAAGCTTTGGAACGGCCAATCAGTTCTTTCACATTGCCGCCTCCAAGGGCTTAGACTTCGACAAGATTCGCTCCGCCATTGTCTACCGCTATGAGAGGGCCTCCGGCTTCCCAAGGTCGGGCTTTACCGCCGGTCCGAGGCTCTATCAAGACATGATGCAATTGGCTGCCTACTGCAGACATACGTTCTCTTTGGGTCACGCAGCCATGTTGGTCAACGAGACGATGCCAGACTGCCTGGTGGAGCAAGCGCGGCAGAAGCTTCTGGAGCAAGGGACACGAGGCTTCAAGGGTTTGAAGTGTGGAATCCTTGGTGTCTCAGAAAGGTCAAGTCACAATTTGTTGAACTCTTTTCACATGCCACGTGTTTTGTTTAGGGGACTTCAAGTGCAATCATTTTTGTGCCCCGTGTATTTTTTCGCCTTCGGCCGTTCTTTGGGCAAACAGAGCCAGTTCATGTTTCAACTGACTTTCTCACCTCTGTTCAGGTGTATTGATATTATATACACTCATGACATGTTTCCGACGGCTTCATGTTTCGTTAACTCGGACAAAACCCCCCAACCCTGCCCTCCGCTCCTGGTCACCGGTCGGCTCGTCGCCCCGTCGCCCATCACCCGGGGCCCCCAGGTATGGCCTTCAAGCCCGACTCGGACGACTGTTCCGACTCCTTGGCCCTCAAGCTCCGCGACCTGCTGCTGCGCGAGGGCGCCGAGGTCCGGTGCGCGGACGCCTTCGTGCAGGAGCGAGAGGGGATGGAGCTGGTGAGCCAAAGTGCACTCTTGGAGAGTCCTGGCAGGAACAGCATGCCCGGAAACCACAGGAAACCAAAAGGTGACATATGTGACATGGACCATATGGCGACATGGACATCGCTGCGCCGTGCCGCGCCCTTTTTGGCTTCTCTGGCGGGGCTCCAGTTTCGGGGTGCAGTGCGGTGCAGTGCGGTGCAGTGCAGCAATAGTGGGAGATTGGTCCAACCTGGGATGTTGGATGTCGGACATGAAAGGGGCAATTAGTCTCTGAAAGTGGTCGATTGTTGCATGATCCAACATGATATAACTGGGTGGTGGTTATGCTGGTGTAGGGTCAATTTCAACCTTTACTTCGGATGATTGAGCCCACTGACATAGCGAGTTGAAACCATTAATTGACACCTTATTCTTTTGTATTGGCATCGCTGAGGAGCAGTGAAGCCATCTTCATTGGATGCCCACACTCGCAATACAGCAGCATTTCCTTTCGCCAAGCGGTGTTCGACTGCTGGGGCTTGGTGCGTGAACCCGACTTCACCCTCTTCCAGGCGACGTCCCTGGACTGCCGAGCGCTCCGGGTGGCGGTGGTGGGCGGCGCCGGCCACGTCGGCCTGCCGTTGTCACTGGTGCTGGCGGAGCGCGGCCACGAGGTGGTCGTCGTGGATGAGGACGCCCAGAAGCTGGCGGAGATCCAGGCAGGGCGCATCCCGTTCCTGGAAACGGGTGGCCCGGAGCTGCTGCAACGATGTTTGGAGTCCAAGGCCATCACATTCACCAGCCAGGTGAAGGAGGTCTCCAGCAGTGATGTGATCATTGTGACCATTGGCACGCCGGTGAATGAGCACTTAAATCCATGCTTTTCGGTGGTGCAGGCTTGTATGGATGAACTGACACCTCACTTGCATCCAGGACAGACTCTCTTGCTGAGATCCACGCTTTTTCCGGGGACCTCTTCCCGAGTTTTGGCCTCCCTGCCGGCTGGAGTGAACGTGAGCTTCTGCCCGGAGCGGATTGCGCAAGGCAAAGCTTTGGAAGAGCTCACGGATCTACCACAGATCATTTCCGGCTCCAACCAGCAGGCATTGGAGCATGCCAAGGCTCTTTTTGCTCCCTTCAAGGTGGATCTCATCCAATTGGAGCTGCAGGAAGCGGAAGTCGCCAAGCTCTTTTTGAATGCCTGGCGCTATGTGGCCTTTGGCACTGCCAACCAATTCTACCACATCGCCACCTCCAAAGGCTTGAACTTCGATCGCCTACGTGCGGCCATCGTGTACCGTTACCCGCGCGCCAGCGGCTTCCCGCGCTCCGGCTTCACCGCAGGACCGTGCTTGTTCAAGGACACCATGCAGCTGGCGGCCTACTGCCGCCACACCTTCTCGCTGGGCCACGCGGCGATGCTGGTGAACGAGACCATGCCTGACGCCTTAGTGGAACAAGCGAAGGCAGGCCGACCAGCGAGCGGGATGGCCCTGTCAGGAGTGCGTTGTGGGATCTTGGGGATGGCCTTTAAGGCGAACAATGATGACTGGAGGGAACCTCGGCATGGCGATGTTTACACCGGAGTCTGTGGGAGTGTGGGTCACTTGGGGTCCTGTTGGGTTTTTGGACGGCTTCCAAGACCAAGGCCTCGCCTCTGGGGTCCTTTTCTTCCAAAAATGCGAGCCGAGACCCGGTGCCGTTTCCACGTCCTGCCGCTGCAACCCCGCACGGGTTGAGACCTCCAGTTGGATCGGTCCACTTCACACCACGCTTGCGCTTGGGGGGAACCGAGTGACCCATCTCTGGAAGTCAGCGTTTCAGCGTGCGATTTTCGCCGTTTTTTCGAACTGCCCGAGGAATCCTTGGCCTTCAAGCTCCGTCGCCTGCTTTTATGGGAAGGTGCTCAGGTTTCATGCAGCGATGTGCACATGCATCGCGAGGAGTTCATTCCCTTGGACCAGCTCCTGGCGAGCAGCGAGGTGCTGTTTCTGGGCTGTCCCCATGAAGAGTACCGAGAGATTTCGATTCAACCGCATCAACGGCTTTACGACTGTTGGGGCTTCTTCGAAAGCCCCAAGCTCGCGATCCAGGGAGCTCGATCGGATCGATCGAGCTTGGAGGAGGAGTCGAGAAGAGGTGCGCGGTCGCCCATCCCGTCTTGCTGAGCCTGCCAAAGGCGAGGAATCGGTTCTGATCTGATCTGGTAGTGGGTTGTGTGGTGTTTTCGTTCTGAAAGGGGGGAGGTCTTCCATCACCAGAGTCCAAGGGGCTGGGACTGGCCCAAGGCATTTCTCTTAAAGCACCATCCGGTGCTGAAGAGCAGCGGGCTATTCTGAGGCAAGCCAACCAGCGGAGCCTTTCTCTGGCCTGTGGAGGGGCCCAGAGTGGAAACGGCGCTGCCAAACGGAGCGACCGGACGAAGCAAACGGAACTGTTTCGGAATGGGCTTTGACATGGCTTTGAAGACTGCTCTCAAAACCATGGAAGATATTTTTTAACAAAGAAAGAGAGCCTCATGGTAAAGAGAATCTCTCAAGACCATTTCATGAGAAGGAGAGCCGCAGCCTTTGGCGACAGAAGGTGTTTGCCATTGGGCTTGCCAACTCGGCTTCTTCAGCCAACTCGCTGCAGGTCCTTTGCCAGTGGCGGCCTGTGGGGACTCCCAAAGAGTTCTTGAATGACACGAAAACGACACAAAACGGCCGGAAGTGGCCCCAAAAGGCCGAACTCACCGCACCTTCCATCACCTTCCATCACTTTCCATCACTTTCCATTCCCCACATGTTTTTGGGTCGTGATCTCTTTCTAAAATTCGATCATCTTTCGAACGACGTCCAGGACGTCCATGTGTGTCATGTCCACTCCTTCGACCGCGGCGTGGTTCGTTCGACACGCGCCGCACGCGCCACTCACAGCGAGGCTGGGAGCCGGTGCCTCCACCGGTTCTGGGCTCTTTGGCGCTTGCGGGTGGTCTGCTGGAGGTACTCCTGGGTGGAGTTGGGCAGCCATATGCCATAAGCAGTCACAGGAGAAGTGCAGCCATAAGGTGGCCCCCGTTTTCCTGTTAAGAATTCTTTTTGAGATGTTGATGGTGTTTGTGGTGTTTGTGGTGAAGCGATGTCCTAGAGTGCCCTGTTTGGGAGCCACATATGCCCAACGCCCAATGTGTCATGGTTGCTATAGTGTCAGCAGCTTGTTTCAATCATCTTTTGCTGTCTATCTTCTCTCAGATGCGGAAAAGGACACGCGGAACTTTTTGACACATCCTCTGTTTGGTGCCGTGAGTGCCGCCGCTTGGCTAACAGAACACGTTTGTGTCATTTCCTCAGGATCCCAACCTTCTCCAGCCGTTGAGCTTCACATAGGGTTCGCACAATCTCATATTGCAGGTCAGCTGTGGCCCTTTGACCATAGACACATCTCAGAACACGTGAGAAGCATCTCCATGCAGCGCGCCGATGCGGCCTCATGGCGGCATGTGCTGGGGGCTTGCCACAAGCTGAGCCGGTGTATCTTCCACAGGATTGTTGTGGTGAGGAGCCGCCCTGTGAACTCCCGGCTTGGTGTTCAGCTCCGGATGCCACCTTAACCGATGGGTCTGTAGAGCTCTGGCGAAGACCGACGACCAGAGCACCTGAACTGATCATGGTGGGCTGTCGCCCATGGGTTCACTTTGGGCGCAGGCTGCAGTGTCAGAAGGGCCGCCAGCCAGATGTGGAGTTGCACACGCGCACAGCCTCCAGGAAACAAGCGCTCCTCTTGCGGAATTGGCACGGACAAGTCTTTCTCATGGATCTAGGCTCCTCCCATGGCACCTACCTGGGACACCAAAAGCTCATCGCCCATCGTCCCAAGGAATGGAGGCCGGGCATGTTGGTCTTCTTCGCGGACCGCCAGACCGAGAGCTTCGAGCTGAAGCGCCGCACGGACGGAGCTGCGTTCCCCGCGGCGTTCCCCGCGTTCCCCGCGTTTCCGAGTCGCGACCGTGCGGCGCGGAGTGTCGGCATCTCCGGGCTCACGAGCATGGCGGTGAAGCAATTTGCCGGCGCACGGCGGATGATGGGCATTCAACTTGGAGAGGAGATCACTGTTAGACCCAAGCAGGTGCAAGAGGTGGAAGAGATTGTAGAGCAGGGGCCTGAGGTGGGGCCTGAAGCTGAAGAGGTGAGGGAAGTCTTGTATCCAGGAGATTGGCAGGTGCCAGCTGATGGGTTGTCGAAGATTGGCTGGAAGCCGGAGGTTGCCAAAGACACTGCAGAGGTGTTGGTTTCCGGTCCAGTTGTGGAGGAAGTTTGCGAAGTTCCAGTGAAGCAGCCAGAAGTGACAGATGCACCAGTGCCGAGTGGTCGACGCTTGGCCGAACGTTTACAGCAAGCCATGACCCAACGCTTCGGCCCTGACGTCACGAAGAACCTCAAGGCAAAGGGTCCTCGATATCCTTGCCCGGAGCAGCTCGGTTTTCAGCTCGACCTCGCCAGCGGCCGCACGGCGCCGTACGATCCCAGGGCTCCGGCGCTCGTGCTGCTCCGGGCGTCTGTGAGGCCGGCGGCCGGGCTCACGCGGCACATCGGCTTGGAGTGGCTGAGCGCCAATGTGCCCAGCGAAGTGGAGCTCCTCGTCCGGTTCAGTACCGTGCCCCTGGAGGAGGTGAACAGCGAGGCAGAGGTTCAAGGGTGGCAATTGGATCTGCCACTGGTGGATGTGGCACAGCTGGATGGGGAGCGACACCAGAAAGGCACGGTGAGTCTCAGTAGTTTCCAGCCTGGAATGCCCCAAAAGCTCTTTGTCCATCTGGGGGCGTGTGGAAACGACGGGGCGCTGGCTGTTTTTGGGTCGACCTTGAGGCTTCTGGATGTGGATGGCGATGAGTGGGCTTTGGATTCTGATTCCAGGCGTCCACAGCAGGCCGCGGAATCGGCCCCATTGATCCCGAAGACGAAGAACGGACCTGCAGCAGCGGCTGCGGCAGCTCCGGCCGCTCCAGCGAGCGCTCCAGCGGCTGCGGCAGCTCCAGTCGCTCGAAGAAGGACAGAACGGGCAGAGGCAGAGAGTGCCAGCGAAGAAAGCAGTCTCCGAAGTAGTTCGGTGAGTCATGCCAGCACTGAGCTGGTGTCAGATGAGGAACCCGTCCAAACCAAGAAGCCAAAAGAGAATGCCGCCAGCCGGAAGGTTGAGATGCCGTCCAAACAGATGGTGGCCCCTGTCCGTGAAGCAGCTAAGGTGAAAAAGGACCAGCCCCAATCGAAAACCACCAAACCCGTGCCGGCCACGCGACAGGTGGAGACGCCAGTTGCCACCAAGAACATCACAGTCACCAAATCGAAGCAGAACGAAACTAGACAAACTAGACCAGACTCCCAGCCACCTCGTGGTTCCAAGGCTGCTTTGAAGCAGGCCGTCCAGCCACGCGTGCCACGAGCCGTCCAGCCCGGCTGTGCGGTCAAGCACCTCAGGTCCCCGAGCTTGTGCGGACGGAGTCGAACGAAGAGACCGCGCAAGAGGTCCCCGAAGTCATCCTCCCCCTCCCGTCGCTCTCGTAGCGATGAGGCAGAGGAGGATCTGGAAGAAGAGCTCATGAAACTGTCAGCCTTGAAACTCGTGGCTCGCCTCAAGGCAGACATTGTGGCTCGCCGCTGGGCCAGCGCGCCGGACTTCAAGAACGGACGCTTGCGGGCGGCATATTCCAAGGCTTTGGAGCTGTTGTGCGATGACAAGGGTGGCCCAGTGTAGCTCTTGGAGAAAGGGTTGACAAACTGTTGCCTCACGTGGGTGGCTACACATCCAGCCGGTAGATGACCATGTCCGAGAAAACCTGGTTCCGTCTCAGTGGTGCAGCTGGTTCCGTCTCGAAGAAGGACCAACCAAGGTTCCACCGCACCGATGGCTCCGACGGACGACGGAGCTGGAGGACTCGACCCGTGGACCAACCATCGATGCCGTCCGCGGACCTCGCACTGGGCGGCCGGAGATGTGCGCCAGAAGTGCGGAGACTCGTGCACTCGAGAGTGAGGAAACGTGAGGAAAAGGAAGGACGCAGCCCGTGAGAATTGTTGTGGAACTCATGGGGCGACTTATGCGGCTTTCATCCATTTTGCCCAAGAGTTGCCAGGCATTTTGGGTGGGTCGTCCGGTAGCCTGTGCCATCCTAAGCTGTAGAGCCACGCATGACCATTCCTTGGGCCCACTGTGCATGGCCATTCCAACCAGAGAGCCGAAAGGATTCTTTTTAAGGCCGGCCGGTGGTGCCACAGGCGGATTGTGCGATGCTTAGAGACTGGCAATTGGACGTATATAATTATGTCAGTTTTGGGCATTTTTGCATAAACCGAACACAAGTCAACCTGGAACTTGTACAGAACTCCTACACTCCAGCATTATTGAAACACTTGTACTTCCGATCCCTTCCAGGATTCCAGTGTTTCTAAGGTGGGGTGCGACGACGACCTCAACCGCCAATGGGGCACAGGCCCCTTCGGGACCCCTTCGGGACGTCGGCGGATTCGCTTCTCATTCGCACCCAGCATGGATGCAGGAGGATGACTATGTACCCGAAGAAGAGGACCGGCACTCAGATAGCCATGAGGGAACTGACTAAGCAGGCGGAAGGAATGGAGCGGCGGAGCGGGCACCACAGTGTCCTGTGTTCGGCAGAGAGGTGGAAGCACGGTAGGGCCCGAACTGTCCAAAAGGCCAGGCCAAAGAAACGCAGCACAGGCACGGCAGTACCCTGCATCTCTGTATATACTGCATTGGATTTGGGGAAAGAGATGCATCTCTGTAGATAGACGTACACGTTATCCGGAATTCTCAGCATTCCCTCGCCTTGGAGCCTAGGTCACTCAAATTCCTGGATGGGCACCCTCAGTGTCTTTGGAGGTCAGGGATTACGTTGAGACCGGCGAGGAGTGCGAAGAGGACTGGCAAGACACCATGCTTGGTTAAGAGCCAGCCTGCTACAGAGCCCACTAAACGGTTCCAGAACTTCATCATTATATGCACAGTCTCCCAATCATGGTTTGGTGGACAACCTTTTTCTAGCCCCAGGATTCCAACAACCATTTTATTGTGATGGCCTTTGCCAAAGAGCCCTTGTTTTACAGTCTTTTTACCAAGGAGGTACTACAAAACAAAAACAGGTCCACCAGTTTCTAAATTGTCTTGGAAGGTTGGTTTATGCAACATTCTTGGATTTGAAACTCTTTCCAGACGTGTCGGGAAGACCTTTCTGCCGCCGACACTTTGAAGCCAGGAACTCTACAGCCAAAGGTCCAAGCTCTTGCGCTTTATAGATGGTGAATGGAAAGAGCGTGGAACCGGTGATGCCAAGATCCTGAGGCAGGTGAATCTTGCAAATTTCATGTGAAGAAAGATCAGCAAGTGGACCACCCGCGGACACAAGCAATGGTGTTCGGGTGGCTCAAGATGGCGTTTCAGGCGTCCCTTTAGATCCGTTCCCAGGACTTTGGGCCGGGTTGAGGCTGCTTGTGCCAGGCATGTTGACACTGGCAGATGCCGCTTCTTGATGAGGCAGGAGAAGTGGTGGGCCCAGCTCTCTCAGCAGTGCTGGACTGTTGGTGGCAGCGTTGCGTCAACGCCAAGGACCTCCAAGATCGTGGCAAATCACTACATCATCGACCAGAAGCCATACTGCGTGGGCGACCCCAGCCCTTTCAACCATTCGGCTTTTGTTCATGTTTTGACCACAGCCATGGATTTCGAAAGGGGTCCCATGTGTCAACCCTCATGGGGGGTGAACGCGTTTCTTTCCGAGTTGGGCGCCCATCCCGGGTGGACGGCAAGAGCTTATGGCATATTGACACATGCGTGTGTGTGGTTTGGGAGATGCTCCTGGCCCAATGGTTTGGTCTAAAGGTCTGGGAGGTCTCCCGAGCGGTCTAAAGGCCAGGGCTGAAATGGGACGAAACGGGAGCTTTCGAGCGAAACGGGCTGCAGGAAGCCCATGGAGGATGTGAAAGGCAGAGCCCCCTTGGTAGCCTTCACTGAAGGAAACGCCGTGAAGGATAAAAGCCAGCTTGCAGGGTTGGATGGAAGAGGAGGCTGGAGCCCACTGAGCGTAGCTGTTTTTTTTGAGTATTCAGTCGGCGTCACTGGCGAACGCGTTGTCGACGGAGGGATGTCATGAAGGTCCCGAACGAGGATGTTTTCCTCGTCACCCAGTGTGCCGCCCAGGCTTCTGATATCAGGAGTCGCAAAGGGGTGGTGTTTAGTCCCATCCAGTGAGTGGATCATGGGCACCCCTATCCTCAGGCACCCCTTTGTGACTCCTGATATCTCTGTCTCGCATCTCCAAGACTTGAAGTGCCCTCGGCCACGTGCCGGACGTCGGCACGCATTCTTGCGCACGCAGAGAGCGTGCGACGGGCGTGCTTCACAATGAGCGTCTCACTGACGAGTGCTGGGACACTCTGTGCGTTCGGCAAACAGGCCACACTTCCACCAGTTTTAGTTAAAGTTATAAAAAACTTTCATTGGAAAGAACATGTTTTCAAAATTTTTAAAAAAGGCAAAACAAGTCACATTGAAAAGTCAAAAAAAAGTCCAAAAAAGTCAACAGTCAACAAAAAGTCACAAAAAAAGTCAAACAAAAACTTTGCATAGGTAAACAAGTCAAGGAAAAGCTTGTAACAAGGCAAATTGCAGCCTTTTTGCTTATGGCTTATGGCTTTCAGTCTATTAAAAATTCTAGAGCCTTTTTGGGTTGTTCAACTTTCACCTTTTCCAGCCCCAAGCCAGCCCCAACCCCCTACCCCAGAGTCGCAGGATCCCTACCCAGCCCCAGCCACTGTCCCAGGGTCTCTTCAGCCCCAAGGCAGCTGCTGCTCAAATTTTGGGGCAGGTTGCTGCCAGGGCCAGGCTTTGGGCTGGCTGCGGCTGGCTCCTGGCAGAGGGGTCAGGTTGAGGTCGAGCTCAGGCAGGCTACAGGCGGGCTGGGGCATGCGGGGCTGGGCCGGCAAAAAAAAGTCAAGAAAAAGTCAAAAAAAAGTCAAATGTGCGGATCCTAGCCTTGGTGGATTACTGGAGGCAACAAAAAGTCAAAAAAAAGTCAAAAGTTGAAAAAGTCAAAAAAAGTCAAAAAAAAAGTCAACAAAAAGTCAAAAAAAGACAAAAAAAGCCAAATGTGAAAACCAAGCGCGGATCCTAGCCTTGGCGGATTACTGGAGGCAACAAAAAGTCAAAAAAAAGTCGAAAACACGTCAATTCTGCTCGCGACTCTGGGGCCGGACAGGGCTGGGTACTT